AAATTGATTTTTTTACGACATTATTATCTTACATATTCGTTATGATGTATATCCTTAATAGATTTCTCATTTTTAAAAGTTCATTTTCTCAAATTCATTTTCAATTTTGTTACATACTTTACATGAATGTAGGTTGTGAAACACATAAATATTACTTTCTTTCAAATATTCGTTTTCACAAATCAATATGCATTTTAGAATTGCAATGCTATGATTATGTATATGCTTGTGGTTGTGTGAATAGGGTAGTTTTTTTTTCTCCTTCTGTAGAAGCTCTTCTTGAACTTTTCTATCTATTTATTTTTAAAATTATTTGTCTTTTAGAAGATTGTAGATCTAAAAAGATTTGAAAGTCCTATTTTTGTTGAAGATGTTAATAAATCTTCTAAATCTTGAAGACCCTCTTCTAATCCTCATGCCTATTTTTTACGTTTCTATTTTTTTTCTTTGCTTATTCTATCACTAGGTTACAACCCGTGGAAACCACGGGTAAGAAAAAAAATACTATTGATTAGTTAAAATTAATAGTTAAATTGTTATGAATATCATGATTTTGTAAAATGCACTATAAATTTGAATAGAGTGAAAAAACTACAATCACAGAAATAACATTGCTATATGACAAATTAAAAATGACAACATTTTAATAAATATATATAAACACAACATAATACATTATAATATTATTCAATTAGTAGTCATAGTATTTGTTTTCTTTTATAAATTTCAGCATTTTTATAAATATAACTTTTATATAAAAATTCTGGACTTTTTCAATGCATTACTTTATAAAAATAACTAAATATTTATTACGTGATCACCAAAGTGTTCTATTCCATAAATCATTATCCACAAAAACTACCGTTAGATTAAATTTTAAACCTATTTTTGTATAATGAAATTTGTTTCTAAGTAAAAGATATTAAAAATCCAATTAACATACAACATAACAAAATGGGGAAAAAACAAAAAAAAAAACCAAAAAACAAAAAACAATAAAACCAAAAAAAAAACATGTAAATACTCCAAATTACAGTAAATGACCATGAATGCTTTGTCAAAATCAAGGAATCTCAACAATGTACCTGAGAAAAAAAAAGATCCTCGCAAATGTAATGATCATATTTATCAAACAACTACGTCAGATGTGTACATCTTTTAAATTTTACATCAACCCTCCCTTCCCAAATTGTTAATTCAAACATATCATGATTTTTTGTGTAAATTTTGGAAATAATTTTAACAAAATATCAATACTACTAAAATATAACTACGAAGAAAATGCAACACCAAGGGATTTAGCCACACGAAGAAAATGCAACACCAAAGGGATTTAGCCACAACAAAGATGAATAGATAAAGCCCAAAAAGTTGCATACAACTTCACTATCACCATTAAAAAAGCAGCATGAAATTAAGAACCAAAACAATTGCAACATCCGGTCCCTATGTAGAATTGGTCTCAAATCAATAACCTTTATGCTTAGAATAAGTCCCACTCACAAATGTGTACAGAATAATGATGAAACTTGAAGCCAAAAAAACCTCGTGCATAATTTTGAAACACTACCATGTGTAACATGTAAAGCTTTTGAGCAACACAATATAAAACACATCTCTCAAGTAACCTACACACTATTTCTTAAGGTGAACCCAATTTTCACACCAGCCAAAGAAGTATATTTATCTAGGTCCTAAAAATTGGTAACACCCAAGAACTCTTGTAACAAAAAAAGTTTAAGTACGCGCAAAAAAACAAAAAACAAAAAAATAATAAGATTTATTTTTATGTTAAATATCTATAAAGATAAATCACCGGAATCCCAATCTTTAAATGACAATAAAAACATTAAGATAAATGGTGGCTAGAAGATGAACCAGATCTACTCTATTGTAAAAAATGACATCAAACAATAGCTTTAGTTGTTATACAACAACATACTTTAATTATAAATGAGATAAAATAGAAAATCTTCCTCATTAATTGTCATAGAGTCAATGCAATTCCACTTTCATTCTGCATTTCCAACCATCAATTGAGGAGGAATTGACACCTCAACAAACTCTTGACATTCAATAGAAGACTTTCCGGTCAGCTGCACTCGAGAAACACAAAAATTTGTCCCCCCAAGATCTAATACATTAAACATGCCTTGCTCTTTATTGAAGTAAAAAAGGAAAAAAAAATGATTTGAGAAATTTTAACAGAGATACAAGTCGTTATTTTTATAATTATTAACAACACAATATCATCTTGCTTCCCAAAACTGATATAAATATTTTGGTTCAAGCGTTTTGTCAAATAGTTAGTATGCATTTTCCTTTGCCACATTACCTTTATTTATGAGGCCAACGACTACACCTTCCACAACTCTCTAAATTCCATTGCTATCATCTTTCAGTCACAATAAATTTCCCAGAAGAAAACAGTGAAATCATCAATTGGAGATTGTTTGATGCACAAGAACTGAGAAACGGGACTTTAGCATCTGTAATCGTAATCCAAGAACATGTAAGAAGAAACTCGATTTACCTGGCTAAGATAGGATAAAGGGAGTCAATATTGGAAACTCTTTATTGTGACTCTTTTACATTGATAAGATATGAGGAACCTCTTGACCCTTTTACATTGGTTCCTCACCATTAGTTCCTTTCGAAGCTCTGTGATTATGGTGTTGAACGACTATTAGGGTTTTCAAAGTGAGAATCGATATTGAGAGAGGGTTCAGGCGGCGAGAATAGAGGATGAAACAGGATTGGGATGAATGATTTCCCAAGATTTAGGGTCTCTAGTAAATATGAAATTAAATTGAATCTTGATTGGCATTGATTTTAATTGCTTATCATACGTATTGAATGAAGGGGCATTTCTGAATTCACTTTGACAGAATAGGGACGCAGGAGAACCAAATGGGCACTTTCGTAAGTTCACGTACACATTTAAGGGGGAAAAATAGTTTTTAGGGGTTGACACGTCAAAAATCTACTTATTTATTAGATTAGGGGATTATCATATATAATAAAATAGTTTAGTTTTGTGTTTTCATAATTTAGCCACAATTTTTTTATTTCATACTTTAATCATAAATCCACTTTATTATTTCATACTTTTGCCATAAAAGTTTGGGTAAATTACACCAAGCGGCCCTCGTGCACATGTCAGAAAGCATGTTTGGTCCTTATTTTTAAAAATTAACTCGGACCATCTTTTTTTGGTTAAAAGTTGCACGTTTCATCCCTCATCAGTTTAAATCTACATGTTTCATCCCTTACAAGACTTGAAAAGACTATATTATCCTTGTTTATTTTCTTTTTGATTGTTTAATTTGCGTAATTATAATATATAAAAAATAAAGTAGGCCCTCACCTTACACACCCCACCCCCATTTAGCTAGATACCCTAAATCTATGTTTCTCTATCTTCGTCTCAAAACCTCACCTCCCCGGTGAAGCCAAAATCCGGCCACCAGAGGTAATCATCATCCTCTTCAAACCTTCAAACCACTAGGGTCCTCCCCTTTACACCAACGATTTCATCCCCTGCAAGTAATTGTCGTCTTTTCCTCCGATCCACCACCGTCACCTTTAAGCCACTGTCGCCTCCTCACCTGTGCGCTGCCACGGTGGAGATCGACTATGGAGCTCGACAGATCACAACCATCCTCTTTGTCTCTCCTCCTTAAGGGTCCTTAGACTTCTGTACATTGGCAATTTCCTTCCCCTTAATTTGTAGAATGACACTTTTCACCCTCTTATTTTGTAAAATATCACTTTTAACCCATCAAACTTGAACCACAAAATTTTTTACCCCTTCAACTTTTGTATATTGTCATATTTGTAGGTTTAGTCCCTATACTTTCGTATGTCGGCAAGTTTGGTCCCCCAAACCATGCACACAAAACAATAAAATGATGAATAGTAGTATTTTCTTTTTTGTGACTACAACATAGTAAGCAAAACCTCACTTACATCCCCCGCAAAACAGGAATGGGCAATTTCTAGTCGATAATAAAAGACATATCTCCAAATACATAATGGAAAATGAACACAAAATACAAAATACAAATAATATATAAAAGTTTAATCGATAAAGGCATATGGAGAAGTTTGAATGCTAAATTAGTAAAAAAATCATTGTTGTTTTTTCTGTATTCTAACCTATTAATTTAATTTGTAGTAATTAAAAAAATAAAAAATCATTAATAAACATATATAATAAATACTAATTTATTTTTTATTATTTGTTGAAATAATGTTTTTTTCAATGGAGATTTTAATATGCTCTTAAAATCCTTCTAATTTCACATATGTCAGACTTGAACCTTCGATCTCAATGATCGAAGACAACATCTGATACTACTAGGTAATTAGAAACCGTTTAGTTGATATAATACAATATTTGATTACTCATCCGTGTAATATGTGATTTGGATTTTTTTTCTTATGTTGACAGTAGAATTTATAAAACAAAATAATTTTTTTTCTCAGACGTTTACCTTTTAGAATACAGACATCTAATGTGTTTTCATGTGATTGTGTATGTATGTATATGTGTGACCTTGTTGTCGGGGGCTGCACAAGCGGTGGAGTATGGTACTATGGTTGTGTATGCGTATGACAAAAACAGAAAATACATTATTATTTTTTAGTATGGTTGTGCATGTGTTTGTGTCTGTGCGTGTATATATATGTGAGTCTGTTGTAGGGGCTGCATAAGCGGTGAAGTATGGTTGTGTACATGACAAAAACAAAAAATACATTATTATTTTTTAGTATGGTTGTGCATGTGAATGTGTCTACGTATATATATATGTGACATTGTTGTCGGGGCCTCCACAAGCTGTGGACTATGGTTATGTATGTGTATTACAAAAACAAAAAATATTGCTTAAATTCTCATTGGAATGCATGGCTTCAAATCCTAGGAAATTACATGTACGAAACAAATCTAAAACTTACTTACTTACTATTAAATGAAATTACACAACATAGATATGAAACCACCAAAATATCAAATCAAATATTACGCCAACTTAAAGTACAAACATTGTTCCACAATAACCAACAATTACTATTTACTAATATCGCCAATAGAAAGGAAATTCTTGAGGATCTTGATTATAATTCGACGTCGTATCAATCATACCACCCCACCCCGCATCACAATCACTCTCCAAACTTATTGTTGCAGAGAAGGAACCAGATGGAGGGTGCACCACATGGCTAAAAGATGCCTCTGAAGATGACAGAAGAGAGGGAGCATGGTCCAAGTGGCTCCACAGAGAGCTCGTGGTCATGGAAGCCATGGCTGTGTGCACCGGTGGACCACTCGACTGTACCACACCGGTGCCATGATGATTCACCGGAAAAAGATATGGTCGAGGCTTTCTTCTTCTCCGATTATGCCCGTCAAGTCGCTTTCTGCAACTCCGTTTTCCCTCGTCAAATTCATCTAGCGGATGGAACCTGTGAATAGAATCAGTAATCACAAATTCGTTGATTCGTAAACCTCTCAAAAACCCTAAATTTGGAAGTGAAAAAGCATACCGACTACACTGCTGGCAGAATCGAAGCTTTTCGGTTTTGATTGAAACCTCTGGGCTCTTGGAATGGACTTCGCAAACCTTATGACGCTGGTGATACTTTCTGCAGTTGCTAAGGTCCGCCGTGCACCCGTCGACGACGCAGGTGGCTGCCTGAACTGAGTTATTTACCTCCGAACAAACCCTTTTCGATGATCCTGAAGGTGACAATGCCATCGATGATCTAACTCGTTGCCTCTGTAAATTACTTGATTCACTAAAATCCAATTTGAAAACAGTGAAATTGACCGATGGGGATTTACAAAATCAAGAGATATTATGTATATATAAAGATTAAAGAACTTACGTAGAAAATGATTCGAGAGTGTCTTGTTTTTGAGCTAGACAAGCTTATGATGGATAAAGAGAGTAGTAGTTAAAGACAAAGAGCCAAGAAGTTGAAGTTGGTGCAACATGTGAAGCTGTGTCCCCTTCTCTGGGACCTTTCATCGAAGACATCATGGGCACATTTTGGACTATGCAGATGGCAATTCATCAAGAATAATGCATCGAAACCAGAGAGAACAGAGTTCCAAATCGATGGTAGTGGGGAAGTTCCTACTTATGGTAATATGTAGAGTTTCTTTATTGGGGTTTTGTGTATAACTTGGTAAAGAGAGACGATAAAGACAAGGAGTTAGATGTGTATAAGATAATGTTAATGCATTTTTTGTATAATTAACAAGAATGACATTAAATCTCTATATTTAATTCTTTATCTGCATTATTATCCTGTAGAGTTGTAGGTATAGGTAAAGTAATGTGTTCTCTTAGAATTTATAAGATAATGTTAATGCATTTTTGGTATAATTAACGAGAATGACATTAAATCTCTATATTTGTTTCTTTATTGGCATTATTGTCTTGTAGGTATAGGTAAAATAATGTGTTATCTTTGAGTTTTTATATGGAACGAAACAAAAGTTAGGATAGGGACATCGATGTAGCTTACACTTATTATTTACGAAGTTAAACCGGTTAATGTTATGAATTAGGGGTCGCATACCCGTACAATTACAAGGGAACAAATCGGACGATATTTAATGTATTAGGTTCAAAAAAAAATAAAAAAAAATACAATCAATTATATTTATTTGGATTTGAATATCCGTAGAACTTCGTATTTCAAAAGTATGGTAGACGGAAAAAGTACTTTACAACGATATAACTGAAAAAATCGTATTTTATAACGATATAAAGAAAAATATTTTTTGAGATGAAATATTTGCACTAAGACAATTTTATATAATTATATAGATAAAAATCATACGTCTCAAAGATATATTCAGATCTATAGCAAACAATAACGTAATACAATAAACATGTTTTATAATGATATAAAGAGGAAAACATAACTTACAACGATATAATGAAATTTTGATTATGTTGCCAAAAGCATGTCATGTCTGTGATAAATTTATATCATTATGTACATAAAAATGAGACAGTTTCAACGATTTACTTGGATTTAAAACGGATAGTATAACACCTCGTTCTTTATGTTTTTAAATACTATCGTTTCAATAGATTTGTAACATCCAAAAAATCATAGTAAAATTTTTTATTTTCCAATTAAGGTACAATCATTGTTTCAATCAAAAACTCAAGTCATAAGAAACCAAGTATCAAATACAATATCCCAAAATCAATGTATCACAAAATCTCCAAAACATATCACCGAAGGAAGTGTACGATCACGTCTTTGCTTTCTCCTGGTCATCAGAAGTACCTGAAACATAACACTTAAACCATAGACCAACGCTTAATGAGTTCCCCAAAATACCACCACACAAACATATAACAACATGCATACTGGGTCCACAGCCATCAGGTTGGATTACCCTTGAGCCCACAACATGAGTCTGGCTTGCCTTTTTGGCCCACAACTCATGTCTAGATTGCTCCCGAGCCAACAAGATAATTCTAGCTGGCCTATCCGGCCCACAACTTATGTCTGGCTTGCTCCCAGTTGGCTTCCGCATTAAGCAGCATTGCCTCAACCCAACCCACATTATGTCGACATATGTAACAGATAAACATATAACCAGCAAACAAATAATCATACAGATCTAACAGATCACTACATAACAACATTCTATATACAAGGATACACAACCTAGTGGGACGACATTGGTGCCTTCGACCCACAAGTACAATGAGGAAACTCACCTCACAGTCTGAAAGATAGCAGAAATGAAAGCGGCTCCAAATGCCAACTCTACAGGCCACATATACAACAAACAGTGACTTAATCTCAATCCACAGCACAAAATACCCAAAATTCCCCCAAGTGAAACTTGGTCAAACCCTTGGAAAGTCAAAAGTCAAAGAAAGTCAAGCTGACTGAGTACACCCCGCGTACTCAGTTACTACGTTGGGCGTAGTCGCGACCTAAACAAATATCGGGGCTTCAGCCCAGTATGTAACACTCGTGTTTCTAGGCTAAGCATTAATATTATGATGTAATAGTTAGGTTCGACAATTGTAACTTATTTTGAAGTAATGAAGAGGAGTTAGTTGAGTATTATGTGATTTATGTGCTACATATGTGCTTATAACGATGTAATAAAATAATAATAAAAATATGTGTCAAAAATAAAATAATAGATAGACCCAATATCTATGAAGAAAGTTGAAGTGGTCGCAACAAGGATTTCGGGGATATAAGGAACGCTGAAATCCGACTTATAACGAAGAAGTTATGACCCGACAAACTTTTGCGACAAAACCGACACGATGTTGTGTCGTAAAAAGTGAGTTTGCGATAAAATAATTTTTAGCATTAGCGATCTAAACGAAAGTCGTAGTATACATTAAACCGAGAGTGTGCATATAGAGAACGTCCAAATCTGATTTCGTTAGAGGAAGTTATGATTTCTCTAAGATTTGGCACAACAATATGCAACCCGGAAATCGAATTTTAGATCGATCAATTTTTAGCCGACACAATCTAAACGAGAATCAAAGATCTCGTTAATAGGAACTCAGCGATATAAAGACACACAAAAACGGACTTCGGATGACAAAGTTATGAATTTTTAACGGATTTTATCTATCTAAGTCTGTTAAAATATAACTTTAAAAAATAAATTTAAAATTAGCCGACGGAGCTAAATGAAATTTGTAGAAGATGTTGCTACCTACGCGTGGATATAAAGAACGTCGAAAATGGAGCTCATATGCGAATGTTACGGAATTTAGAAATTAATTAAATTATGGGTTAATGTGAGGCTGACAGGTGGCAAGATCTGGACCCTTCCTTTCTCTCCACGGTTTCGCACAGGATTGTGACACCTGCCCCGTGTACACGCACCGTAGGGCCTCGTATGCCCAGCGTACCGAGCACGCCCAACGTACTCCGAAGTTACGCCCGCATATGCACAACCCTCAACCTATAAATAGATGCGAGGATCACCCAAAAAACTCACACCTTTCCCATTCTTTCTCTCTCAAATGCCCCTCTTAGCCCCTCCCGTTCCCTAGTACTTCCCAAGTGCTAGAGGCGATTCCCGGAGAGCCAGAAGGCTCCTAGAAGAGAGCTTCCGGCTCAGAAGTTCTGCCCCTGCAGAGCCCGACTCTTAGCTAAACCTCCTTGTAAGTGAGTTATGCTTACCTTTCTTTAAGTATAACTTATGTTTAAGTTCATTATCGTTATTATGAACCTATAAACAAGATTTATCAGTGATTCAAAGTCTTTATACTGATTGTACTATTTACGGGAGAGGTGTCTAGAAGTGTCATGATGGGTTTGATTGTTGGATTTCCGAAAAGCTATATGCCGAAATGGTCCTGCCTCCCAACTGTCCTGCCTAGCTGATCCTTACTTGATAGATCATGACGTAGACCTTGAGTTAATGATGAATCCAGACTAATAATTAGTCGCAATAAATATTAGACTAAAATCTAGTAATAATGATACTAGGTTTCGACGAAGGAAAATAAAATTGTTAGAAGCGAAGCGCTGCCCGAATTACGAGTCGTCACTTTAACAAGTGAGTGCATAGTTACTTTCATATTACACATAGATATGAAGTATTTAATATAAATTACCTGCCATGTGTGCATATTATATGTGTTCTTGATATCTATGTTGGATGAACAAAATATACATGTTTTATTTGATTTAAACTGTATATGTATTTTATACTTATAATTATGATGGGTAAAGATGGGTAGATGATATAGATGATGAAATAAATGATGAGAGACCTCGATGTTTGAGTTGATTCAATCATCTAGCGGAGTATAGATGACGACCACGGGCTATTCTAGACAGTCTAGTGGAACGCTGGCAGGCTCGCAACCTGTAGGTGTTTTTGAACTACGTATTCACCAGGTGTACTCCATCCCCCTCATGGTTGCCTTTTTGACATATATTGCTGAGGAATCCCCTACGCAGTTTTTTCACCCCGATGAAAAATCGTTAGGCTAGGTCCCTTAATTTTGATGCTTTACGGACAGATGGTGAGGATAGCGGGAACGGGTAACCGTTTTGATTGATTCATGAAATTAATCAACTTAATTATTGTTGGTTAAAATCCCTATGTGCTCACCAGGCACCCAAGCCTGACCTACTCAGTTCCTTGTATTACAGGTAGTGGAAAAAGAGCACATGAGTGTTGAACTGATGAGAGGTCTATGGATTATAGGCCATTAGAATAATAGATGTTGTAAGGCTTGTACTATTTTTACTTATGCTTATGTATTGTATTGACAATGATATCCCAACATTTTTATTATAATGAAAACACATTTCTTCGAAAATGCTTTGATAATTTACTTATCATATTTTTGGGAACAAATTCCGCAACAAATTTCTTCAAAAAGATACTTGAGAATAGTTAAAAGTGATAAAGTGTAGTGCTAACCGGAAAAAATAAATTGTAATATCAATTTAACTAAAATATTTGCTAAATATATTTTTATAATCATTAAAAGTTTTCAAATAAGTAGCTTATAATAACTTACAATAACAATAGTTAAAAATAACTATATATAAATGATTATATTGTTACCTTTAAAAAACCAAAAATAATGTTTTATGTTTTAAATAATTACAATGATAGAAATTAAAACGTTTAGCTAATAAATTTTAAATTTATTTTTAACAATAACAACAACTATATAACATTAAACCATATGTTATTTCTTATTTTCATTCATGAGTAACCCGCGGGTAGAGGTCATTCAAACGATTGAGATTATGTAGTTTTAATATATGTATATATTATCATATAATTCAAAATAATCAATATATTATATCAACTTAGTATTCGAATTATTATATCAAATTTAACAACAACGTTGTTGTTATATTTAAGAAAACATATGTTTGTAAAGTTTTCAACTATATAGGTGTTTCTGCGCAACGCGCGAGCATTCACCTAGTTTTTAATATAATGAAAACACATGTCTTCGGAAATGCTTTGATAATTTACTTATCATATTTTTGGGAACAAATT